AACTTGGTTTAACATGATTACGAAGTTATAAAGAATAAATAGAAAATTTTATTATTAAGCCACGAGTTTTTGACGTATTTGAGAAACATCGTTATAAACTATTAGTGGAAGAATCGTTAGTGAACTTGTAAATTTTATAAAAAAATAAAGAAAGGCATCAGCTCCAATAGGGATACAAACACTAGCACTCTCCTGTGTCTTTCGTTCACTTAGCCATTGATTGATGACAGCTAGTGAAATTCAAAAAATGAAAATGAATTGTACCATTAGACCTCACAAAACCGTTGCTTGTAAGATGAAAAGTAGATTTTTGTCAAAGATCCACGCAGTGCTAAGGCAAATATGTTTATACTATTGATATACATTATTTACCAAAATAATTTGACTTTTTTTAATTAAAAAGAGATCGAAAAATCAAATAGTCTGATCTGTTGCTTGACCAAACATATTGATGTACGTTAACAATCGTGAATTGTACTTTTACACCACATTTTAGTGGAATAAAACCATATTCTGCTATGGGTAAAGAGTACATTCAAACAAGTCGAAATCTACAAAACTCTTTATAATTAAGTAACTCTCGGTTAACATAATTTTGGTTTATTCTTTGTCTACACTCTACAATTGCCGTTCCTTCATGTGAGAAACATGCAGTTAGGACCACAGTTCTTGTTCGAGAACGATAACACTCGTAAATTGACCTCTGACCCAATCGAATCGCGAAAGATGTTGCTTTATCTTTGGGACTACAGACTTCTGTTAGACAACGTCCATCAGTAATCTAAGAAACTTAGTTTTCCAAAGTTACCTTGACATATTGCGCCTGGTATAGTTTGTAGAGAGAACCTCTAGAGAAAAACATTGTGTTGTGTGCGCCACAGACAGTTCGAACTCACAAAAACGTACCACTCAGTAACGTTCCTAGCCATCTGATCGAAACTTTCCATCGGTTTTTCTCCGTAATTTACAGTTGAAGGAATCTTTTTAACCGAAAATCTTCAGACTGACTGTAAGGAAAAAATCTGAGACACTTGGATCCTTCTAATTCCAGCCGTGACCCGAGATAAAGCTGTTTACCTGTTTTTTTCTCTCTTTCTTCGTCTTCTATATCATTCATATTTTGTAATTTTTGTAATTCAACTAATTCACAATATTTCCCATTCTCAATCTTCATTAATGTTTCATGTGTCCCTTGTTCAATGATTTTACCTTTGTCAAGTACAATTATTTTATCGGCATTACGAACAGTCGAAAGACGATGAGCAACTACGATGGTTGTTCGCCCTATAAAAAACAAAAAATCTTTTTTTTTTCGAAACAAAACAAAACTAAAAAGAACAAACTGATTAAATTTACTCTAATCCGGCAACATAAAATATGTAATCTCTAAGAAAAACATTCTCCTATCTGAAGCTTTGTAACATTTCTTCTCAGGCCTAATTTTCTGGAAAGAAAAGTTCGATGGTTTGCAAAGTATTGCTTTTCCTAGTCATTTAAACATCATCAGCTAACAGAAGTAAAGTAGTTCTTCCTCGGCAACTTGGTCTAAGCTCATGTTTGTCGTATGTAGCTCTATCTACCCACCTTTCGAAGCTTCATCCAATGCGTCCTGCACACTTCTCTCGCTTTCATAATCCAAAGCACTAGTTGACTCATCAAGTAACAATATAACTGGATTTCGTAATAATCCTCGTGCGATTGCCACACGTTGTTTTTGGCCACCGGATAACTGCGAGTCTCCACTTCCTATTACTGTATCATATTTCTAAAATATTTTAAAATGAATCATGTAATACCTTTAGAGAAGATTGTTAGAAATTTTGTTTTGTTAATTACCGTCTTTCCTAATTGTTCAATAAAATCGTGTGCATTTGCTTGTTTTGCAACCTGTTCAATTTCCATATCTGTTGCTATTTGTCCTTGTTTTCCAAACCGAATATTTTCTCTTATTGTTCGACTAAATAAAAACGGTTCTTGGCTCACAACACCTATATGCTGTCTTAGGATATAGGGATCGTATTCCCGTATTGGCACACCATCAATAAGTATATCTCCCGATGTTGCTTCATAAAATCGTTGTATTAATTGAATGCATGTGCTTTTTCCTTTATTAACAATAAGAAGAAAACATAGGTAAAATTTAAAAAATTAAAATCTGCAAAGTTCGCTCTTTTGTTCTTACCACAACCAACACTACCAGCCAAGGCCACCGTTTCACCTTGTCTAGCCGTAAAACTTAAACCGTTTAGAATTTTTACATCTTTTCTTGACGGATAAGCAAAATGAACATTTATAAATTCTATATCGCCTTTAATTTTTCTTTTCTGTGAATCAAGTTGTGTTTGTCTAGATGTTATGTCGTCTATACCTCTAGGCTGAAAAAAAATTATGTTCAATACATACATTATTCATCTCTAGATAAGGGTTACCTGATCGATTATAGAGAATATAGTGAACCCTGCTCCTCTGGCTTCTGAAATTGATAAAAAATGTGGCCCTGTCTGACTGATTGAAAACACTCCAAGGACAACAGAAAAAAAGACCTGTTAACAATCAAACAGTTAACATTTAAAATTATTTTATTCCTTTTACTTACAATCATGACGCTTCCAACATCATAGTTATCATCTCGAATCGTTTTGGCTCCATACCAGAAACCGAGTGCATATGTACAAAATATAATTAGCCATAAAAATCCCATAAGAAGGCCATTTGTAGAGCCCTTTCGTATACCTTGACGTTTAGCGGACTGTAAATGTTTATCAAATCTACGGGGAAAAGTAAATAAGAAATCAGAATAACAGCACACACACTTCAGGTTTTAAAAAATAGGAAGAACAAGTCTAGGCAAGTGAATTTTTCATTTCAAAGAATTTTCGAGAAAAAATTACATGGTTGTAATCAGCGCCGAAAACTGAACAAAACGGCCGGTTCAGTTTTTCCAAAATACTACTTGCAATTTTTTCGAAAAACTTGAGGGCTCAGGTGGACCTCAGGAACATCGAAAAAGATTTCATGGAAAAGGAAAACTCAATGATTTGTGAAAAGAGGTATCTTTCACTTTTGAACCATGAACTGGCTTTCAAGTGAGGTCTCAAACCTCGAAAAACAGTCAGGAGTGTGTAGAATTATTCACTCTATCCAAAACATGTCACATCAGTTTTAAAATAATTACTTTTGCGTCATTTTTTGGCTAAAAACTGAAAGAGCGATCTAAATCAGACTAATTCATCATCACTATCTTTAAGCCAAATCTGATCTAAAAAGTAAAAAACAGTTGCGGCCTCTTGAAGCCCCAGTTTTCTAGAAAAGCAGTTTTCAAGAACTCTAAAAGATAATCAAAATCTTTTTTAATAAGGTATAATTGTAGTCCGCAAATTTCTGATTAAAAGGAGACATCTTCAATCTCTACACGAACCTTTCAAAGCCCTAAATTAATTTCTTCTTATTTCTGTAGCTTTGAGCTGACAATAAACATTTAGGGCTTTTGTAAATTCTATAACTTTGCAAAGAAAGGTCGTATAGAGGTGGTAGATGTCGCGTTTTAATCAGAAATTTGCGGACTACAATTGTACCTAATTAAAAAAAGGTTTTAATTATTTTTTAGAGTTCTTAAAAAACTGCTTTTCTAGAAAACTGGGGCTTCAAGAGTCCGCAACTTTTTTTTACTTTTTAGACCAGATTTGAAATCAGCATAAAAAATTGAATCGATCTATGTGTCACTCTCAATTGATCCAGGCCTGACTATGGCTTAAAGATAGTGATGATGAATTAGTCTGATTTAGATCGCTCTTTCAGTTTTTAGCCAAAAAATGACGCAAAAGTAATTATTTTAAAACTGATGTGACATGTTTTGGATAGAATGAATAATTCTACACACTCCTGACTGTTTTTCGAGGTTTGAGGCCTCACTTGAAAAGCCAGTTGATGGTTCAAAAGTGAAAGAGGTCAAAAATACCTCTTTTCACAAATCATTGAGTTTTCATTTTTCATGAAATCTTTTTCGATGTCGAAAAGAGAATGTTTTACACTTAATCGTCGTGATACTCGTCACACACGGTTTATGACACGCCGAAATTGAAGAAATGATGCTTCTAGTGATTACTGATGAGAATCAGGTAGTTAAATCTTCAAAAGTCTTGAACGAAACCGTACGAAGGCGAAATATTATGGATTTCTTGTTTTTTCTATATGTTCTTTCGAACTAGAATACTGAAAAAGGCAAGAAAATCGCGTCTCCGACCACTAATTGCTTTTAGACGGTTATCTGCGATCGATCTCTTAAGAAAAAGCATACATTTATTACCGTTTTTGCGAATATTCTTCTCCGTTGAAGGCAAATACTGTTCTTATAGAACTGAATACTTCTTCAGCTAGAGAGCCCGCTTCTGCATATGCTTGTAATTCATCAACTGTCAGTTTTGCTGTCATCTACACCAACATAAAACAAATCAATAAATATGTATATTACATTATCAACATTAAAAAATTTTAGTTTAGCTTACTTTTGCAAAAACACCAACAGCTAATGCTAACAATGGTGCCATTGAGAGAACAACTAATGTCATTTTCCAGCCTTCAATAAAAGCTAATATAATACCGGAAATAAATGTGGACAGAAGCTGGATAGCCGATCCGACTCGATCACCAATTCCGTCATGTATTTTTGTCACATCACTTGGAGAAAAGAAAGAGCAAATGCATCACGGGCATTAGAAATGTGGATGTCTGATCAAATATAAAAATATTCAAGTTCATCGAATTCTTCTTGCTATTTTCAACTAGAAAAGTCCCAGGTTTTTTAAACCCAAAAAGCTTTTTAGACGGATTCGCTTAGACCCAATAGGAATTAGTTTATACCAATAAGCCCTAACAAACTAGTAGAGATATAGTATGTATCAATCCTGCCTGTCAAAAGTCTTACCTCACATAGGGACGCTAATTACAATCTAAGAAAGAATTCTATTCAAAATATGAACTTTCAGATGCCACAAAGTCAGAACGAATGTTGCAGTGGGATTAGTGTACTGCTTCTCAATGATCGATAAATAAAGAAAGTCTGGAAATACGAATATACAAGTCACAAAATTTCAAAAATTGTTGTTTCGGCCCTTACTCATTTAAACGTGTATTTAATTCACTAGTGTTGTTTATATCAAAATAAGGAACATCTTTGGTGATAATCGATCGAAACAGAACTTCACGAATCTGACGCGTTTGCCGTTCGCATGCCAATGACCAGAATAAAACTTGTCCATAAGCAACAACTATTACGGAACAAGCAATTGCTGTTGAAAAGTGAAAGAAAAGGAAACTAGATAAGATAATCATCTTTGAAAAATACAATAAGTTTTGTTTCATTTTACCAACTATGTATGAAGTCTGTTGACGAATATTGTCAGTAAAGACATTCGCTGTTGGTACTGTAATATTAGATCCAGTAAAATTACATCGTCTAAAATTGTCAGAAAAATACACTATGTTGTAAATCCATGTGAAACTAGCACCTTATACAAACGTCCATGTTGATATCACAAGCATCTGTGACTGAAAAATTCGTGTCTGAATCATCTTTCTGATGATGATCCTATGTTTCCGGCGCATAATAATTTTACTAATAATATAAACAGCAATACGCGATTTCGTATGTCGGTTGTTTATGCTTTTAGTCAATCCATCAGTTTTAAAGAAATTTCACAACAAAATTAAGCCCATTCAAATCCACGATAACTAAGGGCTTTGAATGTCAACAGATGCATAGAAAATACTTTAGATTATCTAGCCATGCCACAGCAAGCAGAAAAAATGGAGCCAGAATCGGACGATCGTAGCTATGTAAGAAAATGATTTTGAGCGGTCTCTAAGATCGATTATATTAGTCAAAAACTTCTTCTGAACTTCATTCCATGAAAATGAATCGGAATTCTACCGTTCCATTGACTTTAGTCTAGCGTCTTACAAAGTGGTTGTGGATATGTATGTGGAAAAGATGAAAAATGGCTATCAGATACTCCATATATAAGCCAATCACAAGAAAGCAAATACAGAAAATTCTTTCTTAACTACGAGAGGGAAAATATTCAGAGAGATGGCCGAAATGTCTGCTGAAGCAGAGAAAGAAGACCTTAGTTCCCCTACTGAGTTAGGGCGTAGACACAAGTTAATAGCGAGCAGACAAACGTACACGTCAAGACATAATATGAGAGTGATTAGAAATAAGAATTTAAGAATTGGGAATGTGCCTCATTTATCTTTTACCTTGCAAGAACAACGATAGCCGTCAGAACTGTCGTAGTACTAGCCTGCTGCTACTTGCTGAAAAATGTTCTTCAGAATGCAATGTGAACGAGAAAGATAATTATTTTATTCTGTAGAAATAATCTGATACTGGTAATTCCTTTCCAGTCAAGGGATGAGCGAGTCAGAATGATGAGCGCTACTTGTTTTGATGAAGCCAAGAGTGGTATTGATGACTCTGTATCTCAAAAGCCAGACGTACCTATTTCAAAAAATAGCTCGGCACGATGTCGAACATTTCTTCTTTCAGTTACAATGAAAAGTAGAAGTGAATACTGTCTATTTAATTCCTATTTAACTGGTTATATCGAGGAGTTTCCCATTAAAGTCATAATGAGTAACATTTTCCTTGGGTAGAAGAGTAGTTAAACATTTAAAATAAAAGGTAAAATTCGTTCTTTACTTCGTTCTTTCGTTATGTGAGTTAGATTGTACGCTGGTAATAGAGAACGAAAATTTGTTCTATTTTGTGCATATCAGCGTTTTCTCTCTCTGCTATTTAAGCGAGAAAAAGAAAAAAGAAAGATGTCTACACATCGACAGAAACGAACAAATTTGATAAATAACTAATTATAACTAAAGTTATAATATTAACCAATTTTACTACGAAGTACGAAAGAAAAAAAGTACAACCCTTTCGCAGATTCGAACCTGCGAGACAATAATACTTTTCTGCTTCTTGTATTTTCTCCTTGAAAAAAGCATTTTCGAGAGTTGTGGATATAAAGTCTGCCAAATTAAATTTTCTAAATTTTATGCGTTGAGATCAGATTTACAGAAATCGTTCTTCATGATGAAAAACAGTAAATGCAACTTTTCACCATGAAGATCGACTTGTACAAAGTTGAATCCGACCGATAAAATTTAGAAAATTAAATTTACTACTGTGTATTTTTAAGCTCTGCTCCTTAGATATAGAAGGAAAGTATTTTGGAAAGCATCCTTCGGAATAGAAGGAAGCATTTTGGAGTAAAAGCGTACAGGTAAACGTTGTTTAGAATACACTTTTACAGTGGAAGACACCAGAACTTTCAGAAATTTTTACAGTTTTTTTAATTTGAAATTACAAAGACAGCCTGCTACTGTCGGAAAGATCCAGTTTTAATCATAGCTTAACTTTTTCTGAATCAAATGAAAGTGCCAGAAAGAGGTAAAGCCATAGAACATAAATGGGTTTCTTTTCTTCATCGAATGATAGCGTCTACAATCGACACAAATAAAGTTTTTTAATCCGGGTTCCTAGAGTGCTTGGACCCAAAATTGGAGATTTGTAAAATATGCTAACACCCACTAACACCCTAAAGTCTCGAAAATGAAAATCTGAAATAGCTACTCGATAGAGCTCGTCGAGTTGAGTCTACTAACACACACTAACACCCAAAACAATCATTAATACCTGAGGTTCTTAGCCACTTTTACAACTAAACATCCACTAACATCCACTAACACCCAAAAAAGTATACCAAGTTGATCTACGTGAATCTCTGAGCCTACTGGTACGGATTTTGATCGAAGAAAACGTCTTGATGATTTTTGAAATAAGTTTTAAAAAGTTAATTGTTTTCTCATGTCATATCTATAGTAAAAGAACTTTTTCCATGTTCAAAGTCATGATTTATAGACATGTTGTATATCATTAGGAAGCCCATAGAATTCTCTACAAAGTAAGCTGGTCAGAGTATCTAGACAGGCAGGATCAGTCATTAAAGATATGCAAAAGAAGCGTTTGGGTGTTATATATGCAGCATTTTACATACACAATCAAGGTCCTTTAGGGATTGACGAAAGAATCGAGTCTTTCTCTTGAAAAATAAAACTTTTATCTAAATTTTGAAAATGAGACGAAAAAGCCTCGAAAGACTTAAGAAAAAATTTTCTCAAAAATAACACGTGCAGAAACAAAAAATTTTAGGAGGTATATTTCAAAGTGTCCTCTACAACTGATCAAAAAATCGAATGGTAAAGTCCCCTTAATACACTCTAAAACGTGGATCACCTTTTTGTGATTCAGACATGGTTATTTTGCCCGTTCGTCCTCTCATAGAAAGATAACAAAGTGGTTGTCCATCAAAGTGAAACTGTACGAGTGTGAATGACAGTTTTTTACAGAAATGAAGATTCCTGAAGTCTCCATATCAGTTTTTTTACATATGCAGAAATGTCATTATAACTATAAACTTCAGAACTGCTGAATCGGGGTATCATACTGCTTTTAGAAACACGTGTTACGAAAAAAACAAGAATTAACTGATGATGTTCTAAGTATTTTATATCTTACGCGTTATACAAAAAAATGGATTATTACTTGTATTCCGTGAGAAAATTTGATGGCGTTAATGTAACACCAGTGGGACAATATTTTTGATTAATATTATCAAAATTCCATAAACAGTATTCCGATGTTCGACCGGTAAAGTCGTTAATAATATTACCAAATACTAACATCAGTAATGGTGTAGCTGCACCATGTCCAAGTGCAAAAATTGTACCCAGTATAATACAAACAAAATCTAATCCTGTGGCAAAGCGAAACTGAAATAATCGTCCAAAAAAGATAAAACATTATTATTAATTGGTTTATGCAGTTTGTATGATCATATAACATACCAGCGTTATTAATGAAACTGCAGTTGATGATGATGATGACTTTTTGTTTAATTTTTGAGTTTTACTTTAAGAAGAAGAAAAGCTTATTAGCGTAGATCTTGTATCTCTTATGAAGTAATGTGCTACAATTCAAAAACGGAGCAAAATCTATTTCACTTTTTCTGATATGATTGGACAAAGGACACTGAGATAAAATTGACATAAAAATGTTAATTTAATTTCTATGAAACGATTTTTATGTGAAAAAATTCTAGAATATTCAATTTTTGAAATGAGGGAAAGTGAGTATAACTTTGGAAAATAAACCGAATTTCCATTTATGCCCTTCATTTTACTTTCCAAAACTGCTTTATTCTGATTCATCGTTTAGAACTGGATATAAAAACCAAAATCTGACAAAATTAGAATCTAAAATGACCAATGAAACGATTGATGTTCTTCAATCTGTGTTGTTTATCTCTAGCAAAAAACACAACAGCCAGTTTTACCCACTAAAATCCATTTTTACGTCCAGCGATATAGATCGTACTGTGTCTCGTTAAATAATTCTATTTAGTGATTCCAGTTAACTATCGAGCGTTGGGTACAAGATTCTATTATCCGTTTTTAAAAACGGTGTGCGATACTTATAACTTTTTAACCATGATAGCTAGTGACCTGCGGTTTTCAGATTCTGAAACTAGACACTGGGTGACGTAAAGTTATAAGAAAATCAGGGCTCCCAGTCAGCTTTACCATGGTGTACCATTCGAGACAAAATCCGAAAGCTTACCGTTCCCAAACCACACTATGAAATCCAATCTCAAATAATACCAGTCAATAGCCAAAATATTTCTCTTTAAAACTACGCAAGGCTCAGGTCTCCATCTCCTTTAGTTCCGGAGATACAGACATTTTCCGAGGACACACCTATCTCGTTTCAGACATGTCTGGGAATAGGACTGTAAAAGTTGCCGTTGCGTTGATTTAATGCTAACTGACAACACAGTTGCCGTTGTTTTAACGCTAACTGTCTTTTCAGTTAGCGTTGAAATAACGGTAACTATCAGTTAGTTAACTTTGTATCATTCCAATTTTATTATATGTACCACCGAAGTGAGTACGTGTGGTAACTATTTCTTAATTATGGCAGAAATATCCAGGCAGCGGCTTAAAATGGCTTCCAAAATCGTTGTTTTCCACTAAAACTGTTGAAACTTTCATAAATGACATGATTTTGATTGGCACACACGTGCCAGTCGACCAGACTAATCGAAATTATATCACTTCAATGTTTTGTAACTGCGGCTTTTAAGGTCTCTGGAGATCTCAGCGTCTACGGCCAGCTTGAGAAATCTTTTTGTTTTCAGCAACGAAATTAGACTACAAAACCATGCCATTTATGAAAGTTTTAACAGTTTTAGTGGAAACTAACGATTTTGGCAGTAGTGGCATAACCAGGAATCCGTGGGTGGTAGGGCAGCGTCCCACGACCTTTAGAAAAATCCGTCCACGATAGTTTAAATTTTTTCCACAACTGAAATACAGTTGCTCAATTCTCATTTTCTTAAGAGAAAGATAATACACTGTATCTGCACTTTTACTAAGTGAAATTATGTGAACAAAAGAGAAAAAGAAAATGAAATAAATAAACAAATAATAGTTATTTCAACATTATTCGACAAAAATCATAGTGGAAATAATTATTTTTTGTTTCTTCCGGTGCCCGGGTAAAGACTTTCGGTGGCCGGGCGACGCTCGGTCTAGCCCGCCGCTGATTACGCCACTATTTGGAAGCCACTTTAAGCCGCTGCCTGGATATTTTTGCCATACTTAAAAAATAGTTACCCCAAAGTTAACTAACTGATAGTTACCGTTAAAACAACGGTAACTAGAAAGGCAATTATCGTTAAAACAACGGTAACTGTCTTTTCAGTTACAGTTGTGGATAACCTCCGGAGAAGTAACGGTAACTTTCACAGTCCTATCTGGAAATCTCAGAAAAATGTGGATCACAGGTAATCAACCACGCTGATCATCGTGGAGATGTTTGTTTCATTCCCCACTTAGTCACAACCTTAGAAAAGCCAATTTGGCGAAAGCCCGATTTTTCGCCTGTTACCCTCTAAAACTAAAAACCGTATATTTCACTGATTTCTCGTCCAAAAAAGCTCACATTTTCCGGGAATTCTCTCTATGGGTCATAGAATGTAGAAAGTCGAAAAAATCGAATCTAAACTTTAATTTGGTGGCAGGTTATCCAGAGATGCTCTAAAAACTTGTATGCATAAACTGAAAACCCTATGTAATTTTTTCGACTCAAGAGGGAACATATCCAACTGTCAAATCGCTTTCGAGGCGAAACCTAATGGACTATAGGTAGTCGATCATGCTGATTCCGAATATGACAGCCGTTTTTCCTCATAGGCCTTTCCTAATCGATTTCTGAAAACTAGTTTTCCGGAAACCTCGAAAAATCCTCAAGAGTTTTTCTAAATAAGTCACAACTGTAGCCCGCGAAGTTCTGATTAAAATGAGACATCTCCCAGCTTTACATGACCTTTCTTTCCAAAGTTATAGAATTCACAAGAAAAGCCCTAAATTCATCTTTCCTTCTTTCTGTAGCTCTGAGGTGACAATAAATATTTAGGGCTTTTCTTGTGAATTCTATAACTTGGGAAGACACAAAAATTTTCATTTCTCAGCAAAAGATCCCCTCTATAAACTTACCTTCCTTCTGTTTCATATAATGTGCCTCGAGCAGTTTCACGAAAGAACAAATCATATCGCGTACAAAGACATTCGGTTTTTAAACATACCTTTTTATTGATGACCAGCTATTCTCATCCTGAAGAACAATTTTTGTATCATGATTCAAGTTATAGGCACCACTTTCTTTTGGATACACACTCATCAATCGTTAGTTCCGTTTGTCTGAAATGAAAACTTTTGAGACGTTACTTTTGTCCACATAATGGCTAAGACGCACCACTGCCATTTTTATCTTAAGAATTTGTAGCCTGCATTTTCTGTTATTCTTGCATGTTGGAATGCAAAAATAGTGATTCTGCACTTTCAAAGTTGAAATACTTTCTTTTTCACTTCGTAAATATCTAAACATATGAAACCATTCCCTTTTTATCTGCAACGATTCAAGCTGCGGGACCATGATATTCGGATTGGGCATGCTGACAAACCTTGCCACCTAAGTTTGAGCTCGAAGGCAGACAAATAGTTCGAAGTGTTTGCCTGAGGTCCCTTTCCCCTCCCGTGTTTTGTCCAAAAGTTTGGACGAAAACTTTGTTTTTCGAAATACATCGAATTACATATCATTCGATACAGTTTTTTTCTTAGATTCCGAATATTACATTGGCTTTAAATAAAAATGCTTCTGAACGTTAAAAACTGAACGTCCACAAAAATATGATCTCTTTTCATGAAAGGTTATACAGTTCGATTCATCAGACTCTCGAGTATTTCTATAACATTTCGAAAGTTTCACTCAACTTTGGCAATCAGTAAATCTTTTTGTTCAACTACATTGCAAATTTCCATGTATTTGTATGGATATGTCCTACATAGAAACGAAGAACACACGCTGTGTTTGATTTGGAACAGATAGTAAAGAAAAGAAGTTCAGAACAGCGAAAATTTTGAAACTGCAAATGTAAAACGTAAAACTTCTCGACTGTATAGATGTTACAGTGGCAGTTTCGAAATTTTTGGGCTCATTGGATATTTACATTTCGCAGTTTCCAAAAAGTAGTCTAAGGATCAAGATGTTTCGACCAACAGAATAGCATCAAGAATAGTATCAAGAATAGCGAATTGAGGTGCCTGCTGCCTCAACCTTCACACTTCAGTTTCACTAGTGAATCTAGCTAGTTACTACTAGAAAGTAGGCATCTCTTATAGTGTTTGTGTACTAGCTTTGGCAGCAGTATAGAGTGTTAGCAAGATTGCAGAGAACTCCTGAAACAGAAACGTGTTTATGGATCTCTTCTAATTGAGGTCACGCGCGCACCAATTTAGTCGACATGCGATCACGAAAAATGACTGAAGGAAAGCCTTTGCTCTTCTTCTCATGGTTGTCCAGTGCGGCGGAACTAAGTTCCTTCGGTTGATGAAGGATCGAATCGATGAACACTACTTAACACTAGGCCATAATCTATATTTTTTCTTTTTTTCTGTTTTCCACCTGCAGCACAGAAAAGAAAGAAAATGAGGATGTCCGATGTGAAAGGAGTCCCACAGCGCTTATCTAGAACTGCAAAATGTAATTTTCTAAAGATCTAGGAAGATGCTTTTTTCGCGTTTAGAAAAAAATGCAGTTCCCAAAAATGAAAATGTCAACAGTGCATTTTAGTGATGACGACTTTTGGTCACTAAAAACAACTGACAGGTATGGGCGAGTCCGAGTCCGGACTGGAAGATTTTTTGGCGGACTCGGACTCGCACTGGAGATTTTTTTGAAGGACCCGGACTTGAGTTTTTGTATTTCGAGTCCGATATATTCAACTTTTAACACAAATGAGCAGAGAAAAATGAAAGGCGAAATAACAACACCTACTGTTTCACATGAAATCGAAAATTTTGTTCGGGACACGGACATGGAACGCGCCCTTATTTTCGAAAAATCAAATATCTATCCAGGGCTCAGCAAACTAAAATATAAACCACCTTCATCAAAAAGAATCTAAAAGATTACCGGACTCGAAATGGACTCGAACTCGGCTTAAACTTGCAAGGACTCGGTACCCTCCCCGGACTCGCCCATGCCTGACAACTGGCATCGTTTTTAAACTCCGTGTCTGTCAAAGCGATGCCCTCGGTGCCACACTATAGTAAAAGTAATATGAAAGTCGCTAATCAGGTAAAAAGTTTAAAAAAGATTTTCAAATTCTGTTGTTAAACATATAAATAAAAATAAAATTTTCAAAACCGTTAAACTGGAAGCAAACACGATTATATTGAACAACCAGATTATCATTTTCAGTTGAAAAAAAAAGAAAACTTCACTTAGCTTATTTCTTGTTTTCCTTTTTTAACCAACTTCTAAAGACAATATACCATAGTACCGACAATATAACATTTTACTTTTTCATTGATTGGCGACTCTTTGAGCCACATTTGTACTTTTTAACGCTAGCTTAAAGTTCATATTCTCAACAAATTTTAATGCATTCGGATTCTGTGTGAAAATATCAATACAAACATGCGCATGTGGTATACATAATAATAATGATTGGAGTAGTATTGTAGCCAAATATAAAGTCTCAGCGGATAATGGATCAATGTTAAAGGATCGTACACCCGGACTAATGACGCCCATTGTGACAAGTTTTTGTTGATCATCTATATATATATATATATATACATCGTTTTACACCTTTGTTCTTAAGATTCTTGAGACTACCGTCTGTGATTTTATTAGTATCAGTATCGGTTAAATCTCAAGTTTTACTGAAGAAATGGTATACTTAGTGATGGGGATATCTTCTGTTACCTATAGATCGGAATTTAGACGTTGTAAGACAGAAACTTAGTTCAGAACAGCGATCGATAACATGTCGTTTTGTCTGAATTGAAAAAAAGTTGCGATCTACGTTTGAATGCACGTCAATATAGGTTTTATTTGAGTAGAATTGTTTCCTCTCATTTTCTGAGCTATTTTGACAACTATCTGAGAAAAAATGAATCTATGAGTGAATTTTTATAAGTTGAATAAAAATAACTCTGTCAATTCAACCTTATCGACTACAAATAAGAATAGGTCGAATAAAGAGACAAGAAACTTCCTTATGGACCAAAGATCATTGCGAGGCCTGACTCACCATAGGTTAAAAGCCACTGGATCAATATTTCTGATATAAAAAGTGGAACATTGATACTTTTTGTACTGAAAATGCAGGAAAAAACCTAAAACTGGAGTTGGCTCCACATATGATCATATATGCCATTTTAAAGCTTTCCGGTGAGATCATACATGACGAAGGTCACAGATCATCACCATGCATGACCAAGTAGAAATGTCATGTATCATGCCTGGAAAGGCGTGATACATGGTCTGCATTTTGGAATCGGTACTTTTATGGTGTGAGGAAGATTGGATGCGTCTGGAGATGTTAGTAATTCATAGCATAAAAAATAATGTTCAAGTGTAATATACTATATACACAAGATGAGTTAATCGTTTAATAAGAAGTATTAAAACGTCGTCTTTTTTTTTGTAGAAAAATTATGCGAAAAGACATGATCAAGCATAACCCGCACTCTAAAAAAAATGCGACTTCAGCGATGTGTCTACCGAGAAAAAATGTCTTTTGTGTGACTACATTCCGTCTTCAAAATAATAGACGTCTTCTATATGTCTTCAATGTGTCTACTGGTAGACATATAGAAGTCGCATGGAAGACAAGTGAACCAGAAAGACGCTTAGTAGTCACACCTTCCCG